CCTGACAGTTTTGTTGTCAATGAACAATTGGTAGAGCTCAACATTCTGAACATTTCTGCCCTGTCAGAATTTCTCTTTTTATAAGGGTTTTCAAAATAAAAGATAAAACTTGCATTTTACCCTATGTTCTACTTTTAGCCATTTCGGCCATCTTGGTTGGCGGGCAGGGTCATCAGACACATTTTTTAAACTAGATACCCCAATGATGATTTTGGCTAAGTTTGGTAAAATTTGGTTCTGTAGTTTCAGGGGAGAAGATTTTTGTAAAAGTAAACGGCGACGGACAATGGACGCCAAGTGACGAGAAAAGCTCATTTGGCCCTTCATGCCCTTTGGGCCAGGTGAGCTAAAAAAGGAAAGATCCTTCATACTGCCTCAGTATTGCAAGCTGATATTCACGCAAGAAGGAAACACAAAGAAAAATGTTTGCATAAGAATTTGTACCTTAAGTGACCAATCAAAGAACTTGCTATGGCTTTTTCAATTAGAGAAATTACAGACAACCAATAGATAATTTTTTCTGAAGATGGTCTTTCATAAAAGTGAAGGCCGAAATGGCAAGTATGCACAAACAAAAATGACAGATGACACGTCTTAAGTTGTAGTAGTACCATTCATCAAAGACAAGCAGCAAACTAGAGGCTCCCAAGAGCCTGTGTCGCTCACCTGACTCTACTTTGGTTTTAGAAATCATGTAAATATAGATAAAAATCATAACAGATACCCAAATAATGATTGAGGCCAAATTTGGATTAATATTGGTCCCGTTATTTAATAAAATATCCAGGTGGCCATCTTGAACAGTAAATCGGCAACAAAGTAGCAACACTTGGTCAGCACCTGATAAGGAACATTCATGCTATGTTTGGTTTCATTCCATTCAGTGGTACTCTAAAAGAAGACATTTGTATGTATTTCCCATAGGGTCCTATGTTAAACTAAGCCCCCCTCCCACTAGCGGCCATCTTGGATGATGGATCGGCTGCAAAGTAACAACAACATTCATGCCATGTTTGGTTTCATTCCATTCAGTGGTTCTCTAAAAGAAGACATTTGTATGTATTTCCCATAGGGTCCTATGTTAAACTAAGTCCCCCGCTGTCGGACATCTTGGATGATGGACCGACTGCAAAGTAACAACACTTAGTCAGCACCTCATAAGGAACATTCATGCCATGTTTGGTTTCATTCCATTCAGTGGTTCTCTAAAAGAAGACATTTTGTATGTATTTCCCGTAGGGTCCTATGTTAAACTAAGTCACCCACTGGCGGCCATCTTGCATGATGGATCGGCTTCAAAGTAACAACACTTGGTCAGCACCTTATAAGGAACATTCATGCCATGTTTGGTTACATTCCATTCACTTGTTCTCTAAGAGAAGACATTTGTATGTATTTCCCATAGGGTCCTATGTTAAAATAAGTCCCCTGCTGTCGGCCATCTTGGATGATGGACCGACTGCAAAGTTACAACACTTGGTCAGCACCTTATAAGGAACATTCATGCCATGTTTTGTTTCATTCCATTAAGTGGTTCTCTAAAAGAAGACATTTGTATGTATTTCCTATAGGGTCCTATGTTAAACTAAGTCCCCCGCTGGCGGCCATCTTGGATGATGGACCGACTGCAAAGTAACAACACTTGGTCAACATCTCATAAGGAACATTCATGCTAAGTTTGGTTCCATTCGATTTATTGGTTCTCTAAAAGAAGACATTTTATGTATTTCCCATAGGGTCCTATGTTAAACTAAGTCCCCCGCTGGCGGCCATCTTGGATGATGGATCAGCTATAAAGTAACAACACTTGGTCAGCACCTCATAAGGAACTTTCATGCCATGTTTGGTTTCATTCCATTCAGTGGTTCTCTAAAAGAAGACATTTGTATGTATTTCCCATAGGGTCCTATGTTAAACTAAGTCCCCCGCTGTCGGACATCTTGGATGATGGACCCACTGCAAAGTAACAACACTTGGTCAGCACCTCATAAGGAACATTCATGCCATGTTTGGTTTCATTCCATTCAGTGGTTCTCTAAAAGAAGACATTTGTATGTATTTCCCATAGGGTCCTATGTTAAACTAAGTCCCCCGCTGGCGGCCATCTTGGATGATGGATCGGCTATAAAGTAACAACACTTGGTCAGCACCTCATAAGGAGCATTCATGCCATGTTTGGTTTCATTCCATTCAGTGGTTCTCTAAAAGAAGACATTTGTATGTATTTCCCATAGGGTCCTATGTTAAACTAAGTCCCGCGCTGTCGGACATCTTGGATGATGGACCGACAGCAAAGTAACAACACTTGGTCAGCACCTCATAAGGAACATTCATGCCATGTTTGGTTTCATTCCATTCAGTGGTTCTCTAAAAGAAGACATTTGTATGTATTTCCCATAGGGTCCTATGTTAAACTAAGTCCCCCGCTGTCGGACATCTTGGATGATTGACCGACTGCAAAGTAACAACACTTGGTCAGCACCTCATTAGGAACATTCATGCCATGTTTGGTTTCATTCCATTCAGTGGTTCTCTAAAAGAAGACATTTGTATGTATTTCCCATAGGGTCCTATGTTAAACTAAGTCCCCCGCTGTCGGACATCTTGGATGATGGACCGACAGCAAAGTAACAACACTTGGTCAGCATCTCATAAGGAACATTCATGCCATTTTTGGTTCCATTCCATTTATTGGTTCTCTAAAAGAAGACATTTGTATGTATTTCCCATAGGGTCCTATGTTAAACTAAGTCCCCCGCTGGCGGCCATCTTGGATGATGTATCGGCTACAAAGTAACAACACTTGGTCAGCACCTCATAAGGAACATTCATGCCATGTTTGGTTTCATTCCATTCAGTGGTTCTCTAGAAGAAGTTCAAAATAACGGTTAAAGACGACGACGGACGACGAACGCCAAGTGATGAGAAAAGCTCACTTGGCCCTTCGGGCCAGGTGAGCTAAAAAATGTAAAATCTGTTTGTTTTTTATATATACATGATTCAGTAATAAGGACAAGTGGAGTATACATCAATGAGACAGTTTTACCAAGAAATAACATATAGATTTTTCATATGGTATAAAAATGCATACATATAGGACGGTAGGAATGCCCTTTACAGTCAGGCATCAAACGGTCATTTTCGGCTACTGTAAGCATCAAATTGGTTGAATTTTATAGTGATTCGTCAAAATATCCTATCCTGATTGGTCGGAGGTCTCAAACATAATTATCTGTTACCGTTATTTTTGGAAAATCATTCGATTTTGTTATCATCATGAGGAAAATGTACATTTTATCGTTACGCACCAAAAATTAGCGTTAACGTCATTTGGCAAGATATTTTACCGTTATTTGTCATGAAGGTACCCCCATTACAACCCTCATATAGATAATATTACATGAGCATGATGAGGTATGAAATGGCATACATATAAGTCTTCCATAAGGTACAAAATGGTATACATATAAATATTCCTTGAGGTATGAAATTACATACATATAAACATGATGAATATTCCATAACGTACAAAATGGCATACATATAAATATTCCATGAGGTATGAATTGACATACATATAAATATTCCATAAGGTACAAAATGGCATACATATAAATATTCCATGAGGTATGAAATGGCATACATAGAAATATTCCATAAGGTACAAAATGGCATACATATAAATATTCCATGAGGTATGAAATGGCATACATAGAAATATTCCATGAGGTATAAAATGACATACATATAAATATTCCATGAGGTATAAAATGGCATACATAGAAATATTCCAAGAGGTACAAAATGGCATACATAGAAATATTCCATGAGGTATGAAATGGCATACATATAAATATTCCATGAGGTATGAAATGGCATACATATAAATATTCCATGAGGTATAAAATGGCATACATAGAAATATTCCAAGAGGTACAAAATGGCATACATAGAAATATTCCATGAGGTACCAAATAGTATGGGGCCCTTCGCTCCCATAACACGTTCGCACCCTACACATTCGCACCCGGGTTCCTGGGTTCGTTTGGACCAATTTTTTATTCAAATACAGGTTAAATTATTAGATGTTTTTTAGATGTATATATCACAATATCTATATTTCAGTCATAAATGAAAATTTGTGATTTTCTTAAATGAAATATTGTTTTGTGATTATTTGATTAAATAATAAATGTTTAAATGGTATTTACAAAGATCATTTTGATACATTTATTATTGTTATATGTTTGAAAATCATGATTGTTGTTATTGATTTGGACCAAATAAAAATGTGCTTAGTGGCCCGGTCTTTGTGTTATTTGTTGTTGTCGCGGCAATGTCAAAGTGACAATTTTCATGATTTTATAGCCATTTGGTATCTTCTCCAATTCTTTTACAAATTAGTCTTAGATGAATGAAGTCTTGGCCTTTGATCATCATGACAATATTCTTATTCATTTCGTCAAAATAATTCACAAAACACAAAAGGAAACCCGTTTATGTTTTTGTAATGTTCCTTTATTTTAAAACAATTGTTAAAAAGCTTATTATCTTTACTTATATGACCTCTTATATAGCAATACACTATTAACTAAAAAATGATTAAGAAATTGTTCAATACAAAACCTATATAGTGGGAAAGTGTGGGGTGCGAACGTGAAAGGGGCGAACGTGAATAAGAGTGAACATGATTTGGGGTGAACAGACCCGGATTTGTACCAAATGGTCAAGGTACAAAATGGTTAGGACCACCTACGAAATGACTATAACTGTATAATTCATAGTAAATGCCTCAATTAAGTTATAGCTGGTAAGTTCAGAAGTATAATTAGCAGACAAGAAGTGAAATGTAGAATAGTCACAAAAATTTTACTGGAAGAATTCCAGGTTCTCCTGATAGAAGAGGGATCTAGTATCATCTACATGTATTTGTATTACGTTTACAGTGTATGGTAACTTCATATTCAATACATTTATAACTCAAGTGACAACTAATTTACCTCCGCTAATGAAAGAGTAAACAACATTAGTTAACCATAAAATCAAACTGATTGGAATACCAATTGCTAATATTACTACTAAAATCATTTCTAATTTCTTGACTCTACCACTTTCATGGAAGGGGCGATAATTCTTGTCGACTTCCGATGCGGGAAACAGCAGATTTCAGTCGGACAACTTCCAACATATATAAACTATATACGGTCGAAACGTATTCCAGGTAAATAAGACAGTCGAGATGAACTGTATCCTCCTTATTTCAACAAACGCATCGTTTGAATACTTTTTCATATCCTATACCATTCACAGAATTCTTAAACGGATTTCGGAAAAAAGGGGGAGGGTAAAAAAATATGTCCCTAAGTACCTGTGGAAAAAAGTTTTATATCAATCTTTTCAATGAGAATTGAAATCTAATTCAGCAACCAAATTGTTTAAAGATTTGAACCAAGAAAAATGGGCTTCAATTCAATACAATATTAAAATATTATTATATTGGCACTGGCTAATTTTTAAGATTCAGTTGAAAACGTAACGTTACGTTGGACACTAATTGCCAGAATGCTAGGTTGGATTAGGAACAAACTAATTACGAACGTAACAATAATATTTGTGTCTACGATAACATTATGTTATTGTTACGTTAATATATTTCAATGTATGCTGGGAATAAGTTGTATAAAGACGTATTTTCCCGAATGTAGGACAGAAAGTCACAGGACAAAAAGTCACAATTCAGTTTTGAGATTATTTTTCTTTGAATAAGAAAACACTTATTTTAAAAAAAATATTTTTGTATTTTCTTGAACTATTATATATAAAGCGACTTTGAAATTAAAATTTATTTAATAAATATCAATAATGATTAAATAATTGTTATAAAAACAAAATGTCAAAGTGGCTTGGTACTTAAAAAATATTTTTGTATTTTCTTGAACTATTATATATACATGTAAATCAACTTTGTAATGAAAATTTATTTAATAAATATCAATAATGATTAAATATTGTTATAAAAACAAAATGTCAAAGTGGCTTGGTACTTATTTTTATCTTCATTTATCAAGGCTTAAATGAACAATTTCATAAACTTTAAAATGAATTTATGTAATAGAAAGAAAATATTTCAAGATCTTTCTCTTATATATGCAAACAATTGTCAACAAATTATTTGTGACTTTTTGTCCTATCAAATTTGTGACTTTCTGTCCTGTGACTTTTTGTCCTATGACTTTCTGTATGTTTACCATTTACACTTGTATTCAAATTTGTCCGCCATTACTTAGAATCACACAAGTTCCTGTAAAATTTGACATCACATTGGGACAATTTAAAAAATTTGATGTCACAATTAAAAAGTAATTCTTGCTTGACGTCAAAAGGTTATTCGGAGCAGATCTAAGGTCATTCGGAGACAAAATTCAGCTATGAAGATGTGGTATGAGTGCCAATGAGACAACTCTCCATCCAAGTCACATGCATTGTTATGTGTGGAAATAACAGGAAAGTGCACGAATTCAAAAGTCATCTATTGCATACAGATCATTATTTATATATTTGGCATTCAGTATGTACTTTTGGGTGCATGTTTAAGTCTGACACATTTATGGTGAACCACTTAAGGCAGCCATCACAAATGAATGATGCCACAATGTGCGCATCGGTTATACATACAGTTCCAGCTTTTAATGCACCGTCACTGTCATTGCCGATCGCCCACAAGACGAGAACTCAAAAAAAGGGCAGAAGCGAAAAAATAGTGATATGTCTATATGTCATGAAATATTAGTTCCTTCATGATAGAAGTTCTGAATGGACAAAATATAAAGTAATATAATTTCCACTGGAAACATAAACACACAGCAATACTCACAGTAAAACTCATTTAAGAAGAAGTCTGAGTCCAATGTTAGAATAGTTAACAGAAGAAACTAAGCAAGATTACAATAGACACCTCTCAATAGTTGAAGACTGCATGATGCCATCTATATGTCTTCTTTTATTTTGTTGTTGGGTTGCTGCCAGACAGACTCATTTACATGTACTCCATATCTACCAGTACTTTTATTCATATAAAAACAATATTTTTTTAAAGGAATTTTTTTCTGGAAATGTTAAGTCATTAGAATTTATAAAATCTGATATATTCAGTTTAAAATGTTAACCCTTCAAATGCCAAGTTTCATGAGCTTGTGGGGCAGCCCCCTGGTCCCAGAACCTTCACCTTGAGGAGCCAGTATCTTTTGAAATTCAGGAGGTACTGCCTACCTTGAATATTAATGAAACTGCTGGATGTATAAAGATGTGATTCATACTTTATGGTGATACACATGATACATGACAGAAAAAGACCTGAAAAGAATGAAAAAGCTTCTTTCCTAAGGACAATTATGTCAATCAGCAGCAGTACCAACTATGTGCTAGAAAATAGAATAAAAACAAATTTACAAATTTTGTGCATGTGAAGCTCTTTTCTGGATTTATCTTCATCAGGAATGCTCAAACCTAAAAATTTAACTAAGTACACTATCATGACTACAGTGTATTGCATAAAGGAGTTGGAACCTTAGTTTCTTTACCAATTTATAAAATATCTACACAGAATTTAGGTATATGTTATGAATCATATCAGTACTCATATTAAATGTCTTAGTGTGAATGCTGATGAAATAGATGTAAGTAGTTTAGAAAAGAGGTTTCATGGAGCATTTGATAAGACATAGCAATACATAGATTTTTGTAAAGAATTTAAATTAAAAGTAACCATTATTTGTGTTCTTTGCCCTGTTATTAAACCTATTTATTTTTACTTTCAGATAGTTATAAGAAGCATGGGTAAAAGGGAACAAAGCAAATTAGAACTACAGTTCTCTGATATATCTCACAGAATATTATTTTTTATATTCCTTAGGCATTGGAAGTTAAAAAATCAATTAGAGTTGATTCAGAAAGCATTGTATTATTTTAAGTACAGTAGTGAAAAATTGTTTAATTCTATCGACTCAGGCCTCTGGGAATGTCACTTTAGGATTCTTGGAGTCAACATAGGTGTTGGTACTGGTCAGGGTCACAAAGAGGCTGAAAATTTAGCTTGTGATGACGCATATCATAAACTAGTTAAACCCTACTGCAGAATTGTACAGGCAGAAGGGAATGTACTCAACTTGGAAACCTCCAATACACCGTTCCTTGAAATATTGAATCCTATTAATGCTATGGAAGAGTTTTTATGTGAGAAAGATAGTCATGAAGACAACCTTAAAGGTTTAGGTAACAAACGAAGAACAGAAAGGGACTTGTCAAAGTTTATCATTGTCAGGTATATTGGTGCTAGTCACTCAGAGGCAGCACCAATGTCCATACTTCATGCTAGTTCAACATACAGTGGTATGGTGTTTCAAATGGACTTTGCTTTTGAAAATGGTGGTAAGTGAATACTTCAGTTTGAAAATTAAAAGATATTGGGACTGCATGAATTTAGATCAATAGTTTCTATGTAAAATGTTTGAAATTATTTAAATAAATCAAGGTCTCACAGAATTTCATATGAAATAAGGAAATGTGGTATGTTACCAAATGACACAACTATCCATGGCCACCAGAGAACAATTGATAATGATGTTAGCAATTATAGTTTACCATCAGGCCTTCAACAATCAGCAAAATCCATACCACATAGCAAGCCATAAAAGGCCCAGACATAACAAAATGTAAAAACTATTCAAATAATAAAGCCGGATTTATGTATAAAACAACAAATGAAAAACAAATATGATATACAAACGACAGCCACTGAATTACAGGCTCCTGACGAGGGAGATGGGATAGACACATACGGTACAGGATGTGGCTGGGTTAAACATTCTTGTGGGCGCTAAACCTGGGACTGGTATAACACCACAATAGAAGTGAACAAACTATAAAAATCAGAAGCAACACAAACAACTAGTAAAACACTAAAGACACAAGATACCAATCTGAGAGTACTCACAGTTACCAAGCCAAAAAAAAAATAAAAAATATGTATCCATGACAAAATATCAATCAGTACACATCCAATGGATTTAGTGTAAAGATGTTGTTCACAGTCTTGGAAAACATGACCTTATGCAATGCCAAAATTAAATTATAGAGTGGATGTAGAACTGTAAGCACTGATAACTATAGCCATATGTTTTTACGTAGGTTTTAATTTATTTATAAGAAAATCAATGTTAGTACCAACAAAAAAAAAATTTAAATATCTAATTACAATGTATGTTAAATTGATAACCTTTCAGAATAAGTTATTCAAAGGACTGATAAGCTTACATGGGTTGTCTCTAAATTTACAAGCTCTAAAACAACATCACTTTAGAAATTAGATTGTGATATCCAGGTAGCTATAAGTTTTCTACAGGTACAACCAAACTTTTGAATCATGCACATAAACCTTAGGTATAGGTATTATTGTATACTACACATTGTCCCTTTATTTTCATTTTCATTGATGGTCCAGATCCTTTTTGGATAAGTTTTACTCATTGCACCATACCTATCTAAAAAAAACATTAATATTATATGTCTTCTTTGATAATAGAGTTCACATGTACTGTAGCTGTGGAAGGTCATAAAACAGCAACAGTATCATCTGACCAGAAAGGAAAGGTAAAGACATTGGCTGCAGAGAAATCACTTGACTATCTTTCAAAGATATGTTGGACTTTAATAGTAAACAGACACAAAGGAAAAAATTCAGAAAATATGACTAGAGAAATAGTGGAATTAGAGATAGAAAAACTTGAAAAGCTAAGTAAGTCTGAGAATATAAAACTATATTGAATATGAATATGATTTTTTTTAGAAGAGAGTAAAAAAATAAATGAATTACAATCCCCTAAAAAAAAGAAAAAAGAGGATTTTTTTTTAAGAGAGATTGGAAATTGAGGTATAAACACAAAAGATTAAAGTTCAAAAGTAAAGAAAACAAAGTTATATACAACATTTTTGTCCCACCTGTAGCAACAGTCACATTCTCATAGGGATTACAATTTAACTGCAGCGGTAAACTATTTGAAGCTTTACATTTCAGAAGGTAAAAGACCTGGATGCTTCATATGTACCTTGTATGCAGATGCCTTATGTAATGAAGTCTCTGTCTGTCATATGACCATTGTCCTTCATTGTTCAGCAACTGCTTTGAAAAAAATGTATTGTTTTTTGTGTCATGTGAAATATTCACTTATTATATGTATCAGTGATCAAGGTTACTCAATGTTAAGTTTTTATACAACTGCAAAAAAATTTTGGCATCGTGTAATGCTATGATGTCGTCGTCGTCAGTATCAGACAAAGACAAATTTGGAATCCGGACAATAAGTTTAGTTTAAATGAATGGATCTCTATGAAATTTTACCAGAAGGTCCAATACCACAAAAGGAAGGTTGGGATTGATTTTGGGGGTTATGGTACCAACAGTTTAGGAATCAGGGGCCAAAAAGGGGCCAAAAACAAGAATTTTTGTAGTTTCCAGACAATAACTTTTACAAATGTATGTAAGTGTATGGATCTCTATGAAATTGTACCACAAGGTTCTATATCATAAAGGGAAGGCTGGGATTGAGTTTTGGGGTATACGTAATTGCCCCAAACATTCAGGAATAAGGGGCAAAAAACAAGCATTTTTCTAGTTTCCAAACAATAACTTGTGTTTAAGTGTATGAATCTCTCTAAAATTGTAACAAGGTTCCATACAACAAAGCTAAGGCTGGGATTGAGTTTGAGGGTAATTACTCCAAGACATTATTGCCCAATTACAAGAAATCTTCAATTGCAGAGTATTGCACAATTACAATAAATATTCAATTTGCACAGTATTGTGCAATAGCAAGAAATCTTCAATTGAAAATAAATACAAATATTTTAACCAATTTCAATGGGATTAACTTAAAGTCTTTAATTTTTGGGGGTTATAACCTTGTATTACTTTTTTGGGCCCCATTTTTAAATTGGTCTACATGGAGGTCAAAAGGGTCCAAAATTAAACTTTGTTTGATTTCATCAAAAACTGAATTATTGCGGCTGTATGATATGCTGAATCTTATTATGCATTTAGATTTTTTATTTTGGGCCCTGTTTTAAAATTAGTCCAAATTAAGGTTTGAAGGGTCCAAAATTAAACTTTGTTTGATTTCAACTAATATTAAATTTTTTCTTATATGCTGAATCTAACCATATTGTTAGATTTTGGATATCAAACCATTCTAGGTAAATTAAATGTCCCATTTCAAAATTTTAAGGTCTTTGTCCACATTTATTTTGTGTCAGAAAAAAATTTGATCACAATCCAAATTCAGATAGTATCAATCTTGAATATTGTGTTCAAACTTGCCCCAACTGTTCAGGGTTTGACCTCTGCGGTCGTATCAGGCTGCGCTCGGCGAAGCATTTTATTGTGGTTTGGTGTGTTTCTCAAATACTATATGCAATATATCAGCTGTATATGGTTTAAGGAATTTCTTACTTATTTATACCCTCCAAACATAAAAACATGTGTAAGAAATAGAAATTCTTTTTTAGTCCTATTTTTGTGGAGAACTATGACTATATGCTATGCAGAATTGGTTTTATTTCATTTTCAGAAAGAGAAAATTTTGATCAGTCAGGGCAAATACAACAGAAGAAAATGACATTCATGAACAGAAAGAATTTAGCAATTCAACCTCCAGGATTCAAAATCCATTTTGAGGAGGCTGTTCAAAAGGCTTTAAATGAACATATGATAAGCAAAAGCGATATAGCATTCTATGATTTTGAGCGTTATGAGATGAAGAGGATTAGAAAGATTACAAAAGTATATTATAATGTTTTAGTTAATGAGATAATAATAGACAACAAGAATTGTTTGGTTGTAAGTCAAGTAGTCCTTGGAGAGGACAGCAGGATGAAAGGTATTGGAATTTCTGGAAATTATTTTCTAGAGTATCCAAAAATAGGTCCTGTACACCAATTGCAAGGAAAAAGTATGCAAAATAATGGCCAAGTAGGTTTGAAGACAGAGTCCAATCATATTAAAAAGGAAGATACAAAGGAAATTAGGACTAGTGCTTGTTCTGTTAACCAAGGTACAATTAAACAAGAGAATTCATTGTATGATAAATCAGCTTGTCAAAGTACAATCAGTTTAGGACAGGTTAATCAGGCTACTGTCAAAGAAGAGCAACACACAAAGACAGAGAAACAATCTAATTATGATGAGGATGAAGATTTAAGTAACTTGTCTACTGATTTTCAAGAAAACAATGGATTGAAGAGACCATCAACAACTAACTATCAAGATGATTATGATATATCTTTTCCCAAAAAGCTACGAACTTCAGACAATGAATCTGATAAAGTCAAGACTCAAGAAGATATTTATTCTGACTCAAACTACAATACCATTCCTAAAAACATACAAAAGTCACAAGGTAAAGGCCCCTATGATTCTATAGGCTACCAGCAGAGACTGTATCACAACTTGCAACCGCCACTTCCACCATATTTCAATAGACCACCATTACAAGGTCACCATGGACCGTCACCACAGGGTTATAATACACCGTACCCACCACACCAGTTAAGACCTCAGTTTAAAGATTATTCTGTTGATGATTTTCATACTTCTCAAGGAAACTGGTTCTGATGTTGTTTATTCCATAATCGTCAGTTAAAGGAACAGTTGATGTGTTGAATACCTTGATATTTACCAAGGAAGCTTTACAATAAAAAGTAAAACTATGACCATTATCACATTAACATGCCATGATGGGCCATTACTATTAGCTGTTACTTTGACCACCCTATGCATTTCTGCTCATCAGTGTAGTGACAGTCTTTATATGGACCTTACTGCTTCTGTTTTGTAGGACATCTATAGAACAAATCAATGACTTCTTTATGTATGCAACAAGTTAAATATACAATACTAAAAATAGAGTCAAGCAATTGTGAAGAACACTATTAGAGACTTAAAAAACTTAACACAAAATCTGTAAGATGTAAATAAAAACAACCCCTGGTATGTGTCTTGACTTTGTTAAACCACATGATCATGTTGCAGAGATGAACTTTATTTTAGGCAGAAAAATGCCTTTGTTAGAACTAGATGAGCTTAAACTTGACTTGTTCATATATAACTGATTGATACATTCAATTACTTTAGGAAAAACCTGTACTGAAATAGTGCATTGGTCCTTTACTTTCTTACAAATTACTTATAAAATTCTGGATCTGATAAAATAGTCCGTCATAAATACCTCATATGATTTATATATAATTGTCTGTTGGTAATAAAATTTCAGATGGTATGGCAATAAGGCCGTGAATAACTTTAAAAAATATTATAAGACGTGTTTTAAGGCGCCATTCAGCTAATGTAGGTAGTTTTAATTTGTTCATCATATTTGTAACATTACTGGTGTTGTGGTAGTTATTACAAATGTACCTAGTTGCTAGTCTTTGAACCATTTCTATTTTTGGAGTAGCATCTTTTGACTGTGAGGGTCCCATAAACTGCAGCTGTATTCTAATTTAGGTCTGACTATTGCTTGATATGTTCTGGATTTAATGTCTCTGTTTGATATTTTTAAATTTCTTTTAAGGAATCCTAAAGATTTATTTCCGTTTGAGATAATGTTGTAATAATGTAGGTTCCATTTCAGATTTGATTGTAGAGTAATGCCCAGATATTTAGCAGATGTAAGGGATTCAAAAATGTGGTTATGTAGGATGTAATCATATATATATATATGGTTTCTTTTTATGTGAAATTGAGAGTTTGGTGCATTTGTCTGGGTGGAAAGCCAATCTGCTTCCCACTTTGCTGCAATGTCTAGATCTTCTTGTAATTTGTTGCAGTCTGATTGAGATTTGATTTCTCTATATATGATGCTGTCATCAGCAAAGAGTCTTAATTTGCTACGTGTTAAATAAGTCAGGGTTGTCAGATTTTTCTGAAAATTTTGCAGGAGATTGACATTCTGGTCAATTCTACACCATGTCAGATTTGCTCTTACTGCTTTAGTTTTGGGACATAAGCCCAAAACTGCATTTTACCCCTATGTTTCATTTTTAGCAACATCAGCCATTAAAAAAATAAGTAGATGTGGTATGATTGCCAGTGAGACAACTATCCACCAAAGTTCAAATGAAGTGGGTGTAAGCAATTATATGCTACCGTAAGGCCTTCAACAATGAGAAAAACCCATACTGTATAGACGACTATAAAAGAATATGAAACAATTCAATTGAGAAAACTAATGGCCTAATTTATAACAAAACAATTTACGAAAAACAAATATGACAGATATGAACCAATGACAACCACTGAACAACAGGCTCCTGACATAAGAATGTGGCGGGGTTAAACCTGTTTACTGGCGCGCCAAACACTCCCCCTAATCTGGGACAGTGTTGTAACAGTACAACATGTTTGTTGATAAACCAAATTAGGGTTTTACAATTCCTAAACTAGATACTCTAAGGAACATTTAGACAAAAGTTCACATGGCCTTTTAGGCCTGTTGCATTTAAAAGTAATTAAACATTATAACTCATCAACATCAAGCTGCTGACCCAATGTAAAGCCATTCTGTTCAGTTGAACCTCAGAAAAGTAGGATAAAAATATTTGCTGATCTAATAGGATGAATAGACAAGGTGAATACAATAATAGAGAGGGTTATAACATATTAGAAGAATTAAATGTCAACTGGTTTACATACGTAACATGCTGCAAATATGATCCTCCTAAAAACAGTAATTGTCTTTTGTTCTAAGAACTCAAAAGATATATGCTAATGTTGATAACAAAACATTGTTTGATGAAAGTTTAATGAGTAAAATTCTCAAAAATGCATTCTTATCATAACACTTAGAAGAGTTTGCATTTTTTTCATACAGTTTTTTATGCAATTATTAGAAAGTGCCTTTGCAATTAAAAGATTTTTTTACATAAAAGAAATAGGAAATGGTTTGTATTTTGAATTTGTAAGATGTCTTATGCAGATGCAACTAATAGGCATGCAATAAAGTCAGTTCATAGTAGAACAAGACAAAACCACACAAATACTTATAGACATATACGAACCACAAAGGAAACATATAAATGGTCTTTTTTTCCACACACCATCTTTCAAGGAACATGCAACCAATAGCCACAGTACAGTCAACCACAGCTGACAGCTTCAGAGCACACTCTTTTTTTTTACGACCGCAAAATAATTTTGCGGTCGTATATTGGTATGACACATTGGTTTTCGCACAATAACTTTAGTTTAAGTGAATTGATCTCTATGAAATTGTACCATAAGGTTCAATACCACAAAAGGAAGGTCGGGATTGATTTTGGGGGTTATGGTACCAACAGTTAAGGAATTAAGGGCCAAAAATAAGCATTTTTGTAACTTCCAGACCATAACTTGTGTGTTAGTGTATGGATCTCTCTGACATTGTACTACAAGGTTCCATATCACAAAGGGAGATGCTGGGATTGATTTTGGGGGTTATTGCCTCAAAATTTTATGAATTAGGGGCCAAAAAAGGGGCAAAAACGCATTTTTCTAGTTTCATGACAATAACTTGTGTGTAAGTGTATGGATCTTTATGAAATTGTACTACAAGGTTCCATATCACAAAGGGAAAACTGAGTTTGAGTGTGGGGGTAATTGCCCTAAACGTTTAGGAATTTGGGGCCAAAAAGGGGCCATAAAAAACAAGCATTTTCCTAGTTTCCAGACAATATTTGTGTTCAAGTGTATGAATCTCTCTGAAATTGTACTGCAAGGTACCATACCACAAAGGGAAGGCTGAGATTGAGTTTGGGGGTGATGAATCATAAGGGGGTCTAAAAAATTTGGGGGGGGGAGATTTTTATTTCTATTTTGAGTCAATACACAACAGCATAGTGTATTTCACAAAAGCAAAAAAAAAGGAAGGTAAATTTTTTTTTGGGGGGGGGTTCAATTTTGTAACAGTATATATAGTGTATTGCACAAAAGCAAAAAATTGAATATAAATTCAAATCATATAACCAATTCTAAATTCTTTGACTACAGTTATTCAGTGTCAAAAACCTATTATGTGTCAAATATTTATTTACAATCCAAATTCAGACATGTATCAAGCACGAATATTGTGTCCATTTTTGCCCCAACTGTTCAGGGTTGGACCTCTGCGGTCGTATCCAGCTGCGCTCAGCGAAGCATTTTATTTGAAATGCTATTATTCAAATTCTTTCCTTAGGCAAGTAGGAGTACTAACACAATACAGTATGATAGACAATTATCTTTATTTACAAACAATTTCACTCAAAGGTGGGAGTATTAATTGGAATCAACTTATCTTTAATACAATCTTGATTGACCACAGTTAATATCTCTTGTGTTACATAATTAAATACACACTGTATTACACAACTAACTTGATTCACTTGACCTGAATAGTATACACTACATAAATACTCTCAAAGATGAGTTATTAAGGATTGATAAGATGCATTTTGTTGCAAAGAAAAGACAAAAAACAAAATAATGTATAAAAATGCAAGCATGATCTATTTACTTGTAAAATCAGTGTTATAATCATCTGATATTATTCTATAATTTAGGTTAATTTTTTAAGTTACAATTATAATCAATTTGCTGGAAACAATAAACAAATATACATCACTCTAAACTGCATGGTCATTTATTTGTTTATTCCCCATTGTATTGCTATTTAACAGTGTAAGGTATTTGTAATTGTATTTGAATATGGCAGGATTTTTTATTTCACAATGAAGAATGAACACCAATTTAGATAAAAGTAAAGTTATTTATATTTTGTTGTTGAAAAAGTGCATTTTCAATGCCTCTTTCTGGAAATTCTTCAGTCAAACTTCCATAAAAAATATACTACACCTTCCTTTGAAGATTTCTATTTCCAATCTCATCAAAAAGAAGATGTTAAAAATCAGTACCCCTTCTAAAATTGAAATATCAAATGAATTTGTATCAATATTGAGAAATTCTCCATCTTTGGGCTATTGAATACAATTCTTATAGCAGTATCATGAAAATGATATAAAACTGCTCCTCTTCAATGTCGTATAATTTTTTTTCATCAAATATTAATAAGTGATCCTAAGATGAGTTAGAAAAATTGCATACCAATGTTTTGATATAGAAATACTCCTAAAAGCAACCATTTACAAGTAAATTTAGGGAGACAAGCTTTTTTTATCAACTGAAAAAAAAACAATTATCTTTCTGAATTTAATGCAAGCGTGATATATCAAGTTTTTTAGATCACCTGGCCTAAAAGGGCTAAGTTAGCTTTTCTCATCACTTGGCATCCGTCGTCCTTGTCGGTCGTCGTCCATTAACTTTTACAAAAATCTTCTCCTCTGAAACTACTGGGCCAAATAAAACAAAATTTGGCCTAAATCATTCTTAGGGTATCTTGTTTAAAAATGTATCCGATGACCCTGCCCATCAACCAAGATGGCCACCATGGCTAAAAATAGAACATGGGGGTAAAATGCAGTTTTTGGCTTATATCTCTGAAACTAAAGCATTTAGAGCAAATCTGACAGGGTGAAAATGTTGTCTATCTGCCCTGAAATTTTCAGACGCATCAGAAAACCTGTTTTTGGGTTGCTGCCCCTGAATTGGTAATTTTAAGGAAATGTTGCAGTTTTTGGCTATGATCTTGAATATTATAATAGATAGAGATAAACTGTAAACAGCAAAAATGTTCAGCAAAGTAAGCTCTACAAGTAAGTCAAACAATGATCAAAATTGTCAATTGACCCCTTCAGGAGTTATTGCCCTTTAAAGTCAATTTTTCACAATTTTTCGTAAATTTTTGTAATCTTTTACAAAAGTCTTCTCCACTTAATCTACTTGGCCAAAAAAAATTAAACTAAGCCACAATTTTCAATAGGTATCTTGATTGAAAAATGTATCCGATGTCCCTGTCATCCAGCCAATATGGCCGCCATGGCTAAAAATAGAACATAGGGGTTTACTATAGAAGTCTATGGGAAAATTGTAAAAAAACAATTTCAAATGGTCACAACTTGAAAACTAATTTAAATAATGATAAGGGGTCTTTAGTAACTATTGTAAAACTACAATGGGATGACCTGCGTTAAATTT